AAATATTGCAGAGTCGTCAAAGAAGCAACAAACAGTGACAGTCAATGCTGCAACCACCCAAGTTCCTCTACCACACCACATGCTCCAGTCTCAGCTAATCCAAGTGCCCCTAGGCAGTATTCCGGAATCTCCCAAAGTGCAACAAGTGCAGTCTCCATCATAATGGCGAATGCAGGGAGATGCATTGTACCAGTTGCAATCGGAAGGGTCACACGGCAAAATATTGCAGGACCTATCCTCCCAGAACCAGCAGCAAGAAAAAACAACAACAACAACAACAACCCAAACAACAACAACAACACCAACAACAATCGTCAACAATGCAGGACCAAGCCACACCTGCTATGGATGTGGAAAGACTGGGCATTTCCGTCGAAACTGCCCCAACATCAACAACCCTGGGAATGGAGGAACAGGAAGAGTGCTGACCATGGGTCAGGAGAAGCGGTTCAGGATCCCGCTGTTGTCACCGGTACGTTTCTCCTAAACCACACTTATGCATGCATCCTATTTGATACCGGGGCAGAACGAAGCTTTGTGAGTATAAATTCAAACACTTGTTAAAACAACAACCCCAAAGCTTAATGAAACCTTTACGGTGGAAATGGCTAATGGGAAAACAGAATCCACTGGGGAAATCTACATCGGATGTACCCTGACCTTGAACCATCACGTCTTTCAAATAAACTTAATGCCTGTATCCATTAGGAGTTTTGATGTGATTATCGGCATGGACTGGTGAAGCCCCCACCATGCTGAAATTATGTGTCACGAGAAGGCCATTCGCCTTCACCTCCTAAATCATGAAACCATAACTATATACGGAGACAAACTCAGCACGAACCTTCGTCTCATCTCGTGTGTTAAGGCACAAAAGTGTCTATGAAAGAAGGACTTGACGTTTCTAGCTCATATAGTGGATAAGTCCAAAGAAGAGGTCAATATTCGAAACATCCCTGTGGCTTGCGATTTCCCGGATGTCTTTCCTGAAGATCTTCCGGGGATACCCCCAGAAAGACAAGTCGAGTTCCGAATTGACCTCGTGCTAGGAGCTACACCCATCGCCAAATCGCCCTACAGATTGGCTCCTGAGGAAATGCAAGAGTTGTCCAGTCAACTCAGCGAACTTTTGGACAAAGGATTCATCCGACCTAGTTTCTCACCTTGGGGAGCTCCGGTTCTCTTTGCTAAGAAGAAAGATGGTACCTTTAGGATGTGTATTGACTACAGGGAACTTAATAAGCTCACTATCAAAAATCGCTATCCACTTCCGAGAATCGACGATCTATTTGACCAACTCCAAGGAGCAAGTTACTTCTCTAAGATAGATCTGCGATCCGGATACCACCAACTCAAAGTCCGGGAGGAGGATATCCCCAAAACCGCCTTCCGAACTCGTTATGGACATTATGAATTTGTCGTAATGCCCTTCGGTCTAACGAATGCCCCTGCCGCATTCATGGACCTAATGAATCGAAGCTGCCGACCATTCCTTGACAACTTTGTCATCGTTTTCATCGACGATATCCTAGTCTATTCTCGAAGCGAAGAGGAGCATGGCCGACATCTCCGCCAAATCTTAGAAACCCTAAGAACGAAAAGTATACGCAAAACTCTCTAAGTGTGAGTTCTGGTCTCCGTAGGTGAACTTTTTAGGTCATGTTGTTAGTCAAGAAGGGATACATGTGGATCCTTCTAAGGTCAAAGCCATCGAAGGATGGGCGATCCCAACGACACCCACATAAATTCGTCAATTTTTAGGTCTCGCAGGCTATTACAGGAGGTCATTCAGAACTTCTCCAAAACAGCCAAGCCACTTACTTGCTTACGCAAA